TTCGGCCCGGGCCGCCTGACCACACACGTGGGCTCAGCCAGGAACCCCGACGGCGCTCAGCAGGCCAAACCTGCCTGCGCCCTTCCGCCTGGGACGGTGCTCTAACGCCACGCGTGCACCGAGGGGCAAATCTGCCTGTCGACTGAAAGGACAGGATGGACGTTCGCGTCAAGCCCATCAGACTTCCTGCCAGAGGAGGCCCGCAGTGTGGGCACCCACGCCCCCACCTCACACCGCCCTCTTCCACAGGCGACAGGTCCTGCCCAATAAGCAGATGAATAAACCACAGAAACGCTCCCATCACTGCCTCACCTTCAGACACACGGACCCCACAGGCCTCAGGCCACGATCCACGTCTCACCCCGTGGCAGTGACGGGGCCTCTGAGGACGAGCCTCCGGAGAGGCCACCAGCAGAGGCACAGCGGCGGCAAGGCCAGGGAGAGGAGCGGTGCCTGCGGGAGCCTTCTCCACCGGCCTGAGCCAGAGCATCGCCAGGAAGGCAGGCCGTTCACAGCGCTTTCTGCCCTCACCTGCCGCTCGGTCCCACTGGGCTCAGACCCTGGACCTCCAGGCACGGGCGCTGCTCAGCACTCTCCTCCGGGAAACGCACTCGCCAATGACAAAGCCGAGGCGTCCCCCACCTGGTGGGCTCACCCTGACCCCAGCGAGCAGCACGGCCCTGGAGACGGCCCCTCCCAGGGAGCCGCCAGGCCCTGCGTGTCGCCGTCCAGGGTGACAGTGCCTGCAGCCAGGCTAAGTGACCCCATGCCACCTCGTCCACCTTGTCCAACCAGCTCCTGTCCTTCCCACAGCAAACCCTGCAGAGCAGTCAGGACAGCCCGCTCCGGCCAAAGGACACCTCCCGGCGGACACAGGAAAGTAAGCAAACCCCCCAGCTCACAGGCTGGCCTCTGCACTGTCCCCCACGCCAGGCAGTTGGACCACCACACAACGAAGTCCCAACAGTGTCCCCCTTCCTGGCTCAGGGCCCCAGCCTGGAGGAGAGCGGCTGACCCGAGGGACATGACAGCCAGTCACACGGCCGCTCTCCTGGACACGCGCTGGCTCCCCGCCGCCTCCATGCTGCACGGGGGGCGGCACAGGGTCCACGACAGGCGGCGAGGCCGCGGGGAGAAGGCAGCCCTGGAGTTTCACGGGGTCCCCCGGCCTCCCTACAGCCACTGCTAACGCGGACATGGCCGGCTCTCACGGGCGAGGAACACAGGGTCAGCGTCCCCTTGGGGCGGGGAGTGGAAGCAGCCCATCACCTGCGACCGGAGAGAGCAGATGATGTCCTGTGACCTCAGCACCCAGGGCTGAGGTGGGCTGGGGTGGGAGGACCCCGGCAGGGTCTCCCCTGTGTGTGGAGAACCCCTAGGCTTCCTGCCCAGTCACCCCCAGAAGCTGAAGCAGGAAAACCAGCCTGTCCCCGAGGATGGGCGTGGTCATCAGAGAAGGATTTAAGGGGAACCGGGTCCATCGGAGAGAAAATGGAGGGGCTGTGCAGTACTCTGACCCCCCGTTATTTTTTTAATATGTTTTTACTGATTTCAGAGAAGAAGGGAGAGGGAGAGACAGACAGAAACGTCAATAATGAGCGAGAACCATGGATCGGCTGCCTCCTCCCCACTGGGGATCGAGCCCGCAACCCGGGCATGTGCCCTTGGCTAGAATCAAACCTGGACCCTTCAGTCCACAGGCTGACGCTCTATCCACTGAGCAACACCGGCCAGGGCAGCCCCCCGGCTATTTTTTAAAGACACCTGCTGAGAGGCGGCTGAGTGACGGGCGTCTCTCGGGAGCGAAGGGCAGTGCTCCTCAAAGGCGTCTCGGAGCAGAGCCCACAGCCGCTCGGAGCTGGGGGCCGGGCGCCAGGCGTCATCACTCACAGACAAGCTCCCGGCTCGGGGTCAAGGCCGGGGAATGAGCAGCGGCCTCTCCAGGGCCGCCTCTCACACGGACACCTCAACAACGCCGAGCACACGAGGACGATGCCCACACCCACGTCCGGGGCCAGCAAAGCCCAGCTGGGCCTGCTGCGGGCAGCCGCACCCTCACACCAGACCCCCAGCTGCCGGGTAAGCAGACACACAGGCAGCCAGTGGAGTCAGAGCGCGCCACCCGATTCCCGAACCCCTAAAAGGGCAGCTTGGACTCATCTGTGTCCACGGGGGGCAGGCAGGGCACCCCCAGAGTTAGCAGCGCCTGCCGCCCTACATGCCAGCCCCTCAGGGACAGCTCACTGTGCAGACGTCACATGCACACGTGTGCACACGGGGAGGGGCCTTCTCTGGAGCTAAAGAACTTGAACAAAACCCCTTTTTCTGTATTCTGACCATCAAGGCAACAAAAGCAAGTGCTGGACGTGAGGACTTTCCCGGGGCACCAGCGGCCTCTGCTGCTCGCCGAGGGCACAGCACTGGAGAGCCGCCATCGCCATCCCGTGGGGCATCGCCTCCGGCCCACACTTCCCCGGCGCGTTCTCCTCCTCAGCAACTCCGAGGCCACGGAGCGATTCCCCAGAGGCGCCAGGATTAAGTCCTCGCCAGCCCCTGCCAGTCCCCACACCCAGCTCAGTAAACAGGATGCAAACAGCGCCAGCGGAGATGGAGCCCAGGCTGCTCCCAGTCTCGGAACCGGAGCCGGATCTCGGTTTTCCTACCTGGGACTGGAGCTGCGAGCTGATGCAGTGACATCTGAAGCGTCACTCAACAGGAGTGACAACAGAAGCGCGCCCCCCCCCCCACCCGCACGATGCTGAGCCCTGGGCAGCATGGAGGGCAGGCATCACTCAGAAGGCTCCTCCTGCCCGCACCCTGATGCTGCAGGGTCCCCGAACCACAGCGCAGCGCCTCTGGGTGGGCGGCCTAGCGGCCGAGTGCCACCCATGGGGACAGTCCCAGCCTCTCCAAGGGGAGGACAGCGGAGGGACTCATCCCTGTGCTCGCCCCAGAGCAGGGTCCCACCCCGCGACCCTGGCGACCTCCTCCACGTGGACGCACGGGGTAGAGGCCACAGGACAGCCACCACGGTCAGCGCGGCCGCACAGCCAGCTCACCAGGTCCACCTGCTCGCACGCAGCCACACAGGCACCCACAAACGCGGGCACGCACAAACGCGGGCACGCACGGCCTTGTGACCTGCTGGGTTACTCTTTGGGGGAACATAATACCCCACGTACTGGGGGACGAGACCCCACACGCCCGCTGCCCACTGTTCTAGCCAGCGCAGCGCTCTCACCCGTTTAGGGCGCTTAGCCACCACGCAAGACTTTGTTTAGAAACGCTGCCGCCCTCAGACCAGCGCTGTGAGCCGGGGCTGTGGCCCATAGGCCTTTCCGGGCCTGAGAGGCGCTGTTCGTGTCCCCGGGTCGGGGGTTCCCCTGCCCGCCCCAGGGCCCCAACACCTGCTGCCCGCATCAAAACCCACCTCATTCAGGACAATCCTGGACGGCTGCCTGGGGAGCGGCTCCACGGGCCTCGCTGCGCTCCTCCATGTCCTCCCGAAGAAGTGGCGGTAGGCGACATCGAACAGAGACACGCGAAGATGGCACCCCAGCTCCGACAGCATCTCCAGCGCGCCCTGTGAGACGGGGTGCGCCCTGAGGTTCTCAGCAGCCGAGCCTCCCGCAGGTGCTGACGACCATCCAGGTAAGCCGGCCGTCAGCGTCCTCCGGGGTTTAGGCACCGATTTCCTTCCCAGGAACCACCTCTGAGAACACGAAGCCCCGGGCCAGCCCCGCCTGGAGACCCACAGAGCCCAGGAGACGCAGGCGGGGGCTGTGGGGTCCGGTGCATCTGGCACCAGGTGGAGCCGAAGAAGCACGGGGACATCACGGACCCCGGTCGGCCACACCTGAAGCTTGGAGTAACCGAGGGTCTGCCTGCCGTGTGAGGAATGGTCGCCTCTAGCTAGGCTATTTGGGTGGGTTTTATCGTGCACAACCCAGTGAACCCTTCCTGATATAAGCACAGGGTGGTGTCAGCAAAGGAGAAGCAAATCTGTGAGGACTGAGATGTCACAGCCACAAGTACAGACAAAGCAGCCAGAGACTATAAACACAGGCCCTTTGCCCGGTGGGGCTCAGTGGTGAGCGCTGACCTATGAACCAGGAGGTCAGGGTTCCGTTCCTGGTCAGGGCACGTGCCTGGATTTTGGGCTCGATCCCCAGTAGGGGACCTGCATGAGGCAGCCGATCCATGATTCTCTCTCATCATAGTTGTTTCTCTCTCCCCTTCTCCCTTCCTCTCTGAAGTTAATAAAAATATATTTTAAAAAAGGAAGAAAGAACCCAGGGAACCAGATTACCCATTTTAAAACCGCTGCACTGTGGGCAGAAGCAGGCTTTTCCCAGGGTCAAAAGTGCTGACCGAGCCGCTGAGTCGCCGATTCTCTTTGCTGATGGGCCACTTTGTCTCCCAATATTGCCAAGGCCCAAGGTAATGGGCACAGTGGTGAGACACAGATAAATGAGTGGAAATCAATAGCCTTCCAGCTGAGCAGTAACAACGTGTGTTTGACAATAAATAGCAAATTTCTTTACCTGCTTAATTAGCGGCCCATCGAGCCACTTCAGGACGCACTGAAACGCCGTCGAGTCCTTTAAGGGCTGGCGTGCTCTGTGTGGGTGGGGAGGCACCAGCACGTTCTGGTCAAAAATCTGGTGCCAGTCACGCATCCTGCTGGTCTGCGGGTCACTGGCCTCAGGGGTCACCTGCACCATTCGTGTTCAAAGAAGTAAGAGTTGTAAATACCACAGTGCTCAGAGCAGTTCTAAAAGTTCCCTACCTCCCACTGTATCCGAGGACCCAGCATCCCCTAACCCGCCTCTGCAACCCCACCCTCCACACCCAGGGTGAGACTGGCACCCGCGCTGCCTTCCCCTGGCAAGCGTGCCTGTCTCACTCCAAAGAACCGCTCTGCCACTCCACTCGGGAGCCAATCAGAGCAGGACCATCCGGGCCTCGGAGACTGGCCCAGGGACGGACACGCAGGGCCGCTCCATGCAGCTGCGGAGGCTGAGCGTGCACAGGGCCCAGGCCTCGGGGACCGGGCTGTCTCCGCCGGGACTGGGGAGCGTGGCCCACTCAGGGCCCCAAGGTGCAAATCTCAGAGCTTCTACCAGGTCTGCTGAGACCTTCCTGCAGCCCCTGGAGCGGAGGCGCTCCCCGGCAGCTGCCGGGCCAGTGCGGGAGCCCCACCTTCACACACACAAGAAGCAGGCAGAGCAGAAGCCAGGAAAGGCCAGGGGGTCCGAGGCTCAGCGGGACCCAGCCCCCCAGGCGGCTCGGCACAGGCCATGTCTCTCGCTACTGAAGCCAGCTGGGGGCAGTTTGAGCATCGCCTGGCTCACCTTCCAGCCGGACGTGTCTACCCTTCCTGAGGGTCTTTTCAGCTGACAGAGGCCGGACTCTGTACACTAAATGGTGGGGAGAAGAGGCAGTGGGCTGGTCTCCAGGCCAGCAGTTTTTGACCGTATGGTCCAAACCTGTGGCCCCACGTGGCTGAGTGATGTGGGCTACAGGAGGTGCAGCAAGTAAACAAAGCTTGACCAGGTGCAGGTAATTGAGTGGATTCCGAAACCCGCAAGAACGTTGTAAACATCTTGACCCTGGGGTTCCCCAGGCTAGTCAAGGGCTCCGTGAGGTCAAAGCCATTTTCACACATCCAGGTGAGGTCTGCCTTTTTCACTGTATGGAGCGAGGCCATGGTAGGCGCTGCGGGATTCAGCCCGCCCCACAGCCAGGGGAGCAAGCCCTCCCCACTCACAGCGAAGTGATGGGCTTCACTTACGGATGTCCTTGGTGACACTGTGAAAAGGACACATTTTCTCTCATCTCGGCCTGGAGTACATGCATTTCTAGCATTCTGTGATGGAAGGGGAAATATAAACTGGGTCGCACTCAGAACTGCCAGGGGTGAGCCTGAGGCGGGTGGTGAAGGACGGAGCAGACAGACAGGAGAATAAAGCTGGGGCTGGGTGGGAGAGACAGCGCCACGGCCTGCAAGCCGAGTCTTTATTTTATAGCAGATTCCATGAGGCAAAGTTAGGGTGGGTCAAGATGTTTACAACGTTCTTGCGGGTTTTGAATCCACTCAATTGCATGCACCTGATCAAGCTTTGTTTACTTGCTGCACCTCCCGCAGCCCATATCACTCAGCCACGTGGGGCCACAGGTTCGGACCATACGGTCAAG